CAACAGTCCCGCAGTGAGGGCTATGAGTCCCGTGTACCCAGGAGCAGCGCCCTTTCTGTGGGGCTAGCCACTCCGGGCCCCGAGGGAGCCATGCAGCGAGCGATGGCAGGAGCGACTGGAGAACAGCCATCCATTTCATCCTACCTGTTTCCCCCTGCTGCTAAGTCCATAAACGTTTCTCCAACGTGGTCCCACAGACGTGTGCGCAATGTCGGGGGCTTCTATTCCTCCGAGCAAGGCCCTTTTTGCTGTCCTTTCCTACCTTGCCATTCTGAGCGTTAGCACCCCTGACCCACAATCTACGTTTCTGGCTCCTTGTAGACCCCCTTCCTTGATGACCCGGCCCTCTCTGCGTCCCCCGACCGGGACCCTCTTCCTGCTCCCCGAGCTTCAGTTGGGCTTTTGCGTAGCCACGTTTGCCTGCTATCCCCCCTTTGCTCCTCATTAGAAGTCTCTCATTAGATTAATTAGATTGATTAATTAGACCCAGTTTGATGTAGCTGTTAAGGCATCAGGCTTGAATCTGGGAGACCCTGAGTTCCAGTCCCGCTTAGGCACAAAGGCAGCTGGGTGACCTTGGGCCAGTCATTTCCTCTCAGCCCTAGGAGGGAGGCAATGGCAACCCACTTCTGAAAAACCATGCCAAGGAAACTGCAGGAATCGAAGGGGAAACGTCACCTGAAGCGGAAAAAGGGGGCCAGGCCTGAGCACACAGAAACCCCCCAATATCAGGAGAGCTGCCAGACCTGCCAATCAACAAAGCAAGGACTTTCGGGGATAAAAGCGGTCCTGAAGCCCGCCCACTCTTTGGGTCGTCTTTGGATCCAGACCTGGCGGCTTCTGCCTCTCTAGCTAATGCCTGGCAGCTTAGTGGAGAAGGGTGTGGGTAAGTGGGGTGAGTGTGTGTTTGTGTGTGTGTGTGTGTGTGTGTGTGTTAGAAAGAGCAATTGTACATTGTAACCAATAAAGTTTTGCTGCTCCTTTAAATTCATTGGGTCTCCGCTTATTCCGAAAGAACCTGACGTGCCTCAGGATTTGGTCAAACGGGATTTATACATCCCCCCCCATTATTTCCCAGCTGCGTGTCTTGTCTGCTCTAGGCCCACCTACCTGGAAAACCCAGGGGGAAAGCAAAGGGGGCTTGCAAGGTCCGTGTGCCTCAAAAGGCGGTTGCTGCGTGAGGGAGTGACCGTGAGCCGAACCTGGAAGTTCAGGCAGCGCTTCCACCTCCTCGACCGTCTTTCTTTCGTGAGGATCAAGTCACGGATAGCTGATCCTCATGTGCATGTCTGAAAGCTTTTCCGCTCTCTGTGTGGACTCAGTCTAGCGCGGTCTCTGATGTAATCAATAAGGAGGAGGTCTTGACCTGAGACTGCGATCCCAAACAGGTCTTGGAGACTCAGACATGCCCTGACCTTTGTTGTTGCCCCCCTTTGCCTTTGTGTCGACAAACCAATCCCAGAAACCAAAGAGTTGCTCAGAGGAAGTTTATTGGAGGGTCATGATTGATTTAATCATCCTTGTCCCTGCCCTGCCTTCAGGATAGAGAGACACAGCTTGGTCCCATAGACCTCCACCTCGCACAGTGTCAGGTACTCTGGGCGACCAGGGATGCTGATGGTGACATAGCGTCCTATTTTCCCATGGCAGAAGATGGTGCTGATGGAGCCCAGACTGCCATCGGTGATCGTCCCACAGCTGTTGGAAGAAAAAAGGAGGACAGGTTACCATGGTTTGTAGTGGTTTGGAAAGCCTGAATCAAAAGAGCAGTTAATGCAACCCTAAAAAGCATATTCCCAAATACAGAAAAGCTGAAGTGATAAGCAATTTAGCCCCCCTACCATCCAAGCACTGCCCACCTCTGTGATGTCTTAGGTGCTACCAAATTGAGGTCATTTTCCCCAGCAACTTGTGCTCCCAATTAGCAGCTTTCTGAAAGCATCAGTGGAATAGGGAAAGGAGAACTTACAGGACATTGTCTTTTCCATGGTTCTGCACAGAGTCTCCCACGCGGATCTCTGCTCCCTTGAGCCTCTCTCCACAGGAGTCCTCCCGGTTTTTCACCACCACGGCACTAATGGCATGCTCACTTCCCAGGTCCACGTACCACAGTGGGTCTGTTTCTAGCTGAGTGTGGGAGCAGGTATAATCCTTGTACCAATCCCCACGACAATTCCCATCCACAGCTTTTTTTGCCACTCCACGGAAATTATCTTGCAAGGTGGAAGACTGAAAGGCTGGACGCCCTCTGGCCAAGTTCTCAACTAGAAAGAAGTTTGGGAGAAGAAATGCACGTCAATATTTGCCCTCTGTTAGCCTTTCTTCTATGAATGCTCACACAAACTTTCGGGAGGAAATGCAAAGTCCCCAGGACAACGTTTAACTCTCATGAAGTCGTGCCTGCTTGAGACGAGCTTGGAAAAGCGGAATGGAGGGGATTGTAGGTGATCCTCTGCCCTTTCCTGTGCACACTGGCCAGGAAGTGGCTGACCAGAACGAGTGGAGGGAGGCAGTCTGGAGAGCTGCTCGTGAGAGGAAGAGGGTTTGGGACGTCTCCTAGCTTGGCCACTCTTCGTATTTGCTTTGTTTGCAAGAGAGCAAAAGGGTGGAAAGGGAAATGCCTGATCCATATTCTTCTTGTGAGGTAGGAATGTGGGGTACTCGGTATTGATATCAAGAAAGGCAACTTCCGGGGAGGAAACGGCAAACTGAAGACAACCGTGGTGGAATGAAGAACCGGTGAGCAGACTGGCTCTTCATAAAAACCTCTCCGGAGAAGGAGATGACTTGAGATCGCCCACAAGTGTGCCAGACTGTTGTTCCTCATCAGGAGAGTGCAAGACAACAGTCTCCAGCAGGTTAAGAGCTCTGGAAGGCGAGGGAATGGCCGTCTTCCTCAAACCACAGTTGGTGCCTTTGAAAGTTTGCATAATACTACCCTTTCTAATCGCTTTTGCAAATTGTTTGTTGACTGATTTTCAATTATTAGGTACCTTTAGATCAACAGGTTTTACAGCACCGGGCGAGTTTCCTTCAATCTTTAATCAAAGAAGAATGCAGCAAATACTTTAACATTGCATGTGTTTAAAAGATGTTATGTAAATGTGTTTAAAAGATGTTATAGATTCTATATGTTATAGAATGCAGCAAATACTTTAACATTGCATGTGTTTAAAAGATGTTATATAAATGTGTATAAAAGATGTTATGCAAAAGGAACAGGTTATACAGGACAAGACTGAGACTGATCTGAAAGTCAGTTTAAAACTGACTGGCTACAAGAATGATAAGGAAAATGATGCTACCGTGGCTATAGAAATGAAACCAACTGATGTCTGAATAATTAAAAGGGATGTACAAATAACAAGGCAAAAGAGTGACCTGGATAACTTTCCTATACTGGATTTACAAAAGAGACTTGTGAAAGCTTTGAAGAATTTTGTGAGAAGGGAGAAAGAAAAAATGAAAAGAAATCAAGTTCATCGACATTATTTGAAGGGTTTAAAGATCAAGATTGTTAAAAGTAAAACGAAGGAATATAGAGTTGGTTTATTTGGCCAAGGTTACAATAGATATGTTGTTACCTCTGGCAACCCTTAATGAACTTTTGCTATCAGGAGTTTAAGAATTTGTTTATACCTCTGAGATGGGAGATGGGAAGAAGAGATCATTTGGTGTATTTTACGAGAAGGTGATAAGTTACTAAAATTGTTCATACTTGTTGTGATGAAGGGGGAAGTTATGTCTTTATATATTTCTTTTCTTTTTGTTTACTACATTCTTATTTTTTCTTCCTTTTCTGCACTTTCTATTTTTTCTTTTTCTTTTTTTAAAATTTGTATTAGTTTTTATCTTTTTAACTGTAAGGTTTAATAAAATTACCATTAAAAAAAGATATCAAGGAAGGCAATAGCAGTCAGTGTTTGAGCTGACCGACTTCTTCAAAGGGAAGGCTTCAGCTCTCCCGCTTCCGCGGCGCTTACCAATGCCTCTCAGCTCCGGTCTGCAGCTCTGGGCCTCCCCGTGGCCTGCCAGGAGCCCCAGGGCAGGTAGCCACATCCAGACGACAAGCACCATCCTGCAAGGGGGCAAAGGAGAGGTAGTGAGAGGAGCGAGCAGTGCTGAGCCCCAGGCCTGGCGCTTGCTTAGCCGCTGGGCAGAAATCTCCAGGCCCCCCCTTGGGAAGCTGGCCCCCTTGCCAACGGGGTAACGGGGCTTCCACTGGGGAAAATGCCCGAGCACCAGGGAGGACCAGACTTTGGAAGGGGGGCATTCCGAGAAGAGAACCGGCAGACTCAACAAACGCAGTTGTGGTCAAGTGCAGAAGTGAACAAGAGAAGCCAAGCTGGGGAGAAGCCAGGATTCCCAGGTTCATCGAAGCACCTTTAGGGTAGCCGGTGGATTTTCTTTGTTTGTTTCTTTACCTTTATCTTATACGGCCGCCCATCTCGTACGACGACTCTAGGGGGCTCAAAGCAATCCATAAAACATGGTTGAACACAAAGATACCCTTCCCCCCGGGCGCCAGACCAATCATCCTGGCAGCTCAACCCCCTCCTAGCCCTTCGCTTGGGGGAAGCGCCAGGTCATCAGAGCCCTCCAGAAGGCTGAAAGGGTGGGGACTGAGCTTCCTGGCCTGACTAATGCACTTTTAGTCCAGTTTGGAAGAAGACCTGCACTGGTTTGCTTGAGGGTTGAATCCCTACGTGATCTGAGAATGGTGCCTTAAATGGGCAGGATCCTGGATCCAATTTGACTAGAATTCCTGGTCTCCTAGCTGCTAGTGCAGGGCCATAACCACTATATCACCTTGCTGTCTACCTACAATTGGGTCTAAACGTACACAGGCACACTCAGCACTCTTCAAAAGTTTTGGGTGTCAGTTTCCAACCAGAAGAAAAGCATTTTGTAAAGATGCCCGTGAAGGTAGGGACCCACTGCTCAAAGGAGGGGAGGAGTGTGGTTCCACTCCAGGCACTCACTCCAGAGCCTTTCGGTAACTCACCTTGAGTCCGTCACTTGGCCAAGCAGATGTGGGGTGAGCTTTCACAGCTGTGTGTCTTCAGACTCCGATTTCTCCAGAATGCTGAAATTCTTCTGCGCTGGACGCTTTTAACTTCCATCGTGGTGGGCAGCTCCTCCTTCAGAGAGCTCAGTCAACCAATGGAAAGGTGCAGAGCCTGTGCTGGAGACCAGGGACCCAATCAAGACCAGTTTCAGCTTCCCCATAAGTGGTTTCCTCCTTGCTCCAGGATGTTGGCACTGGGGGAGAGGCGATGTTACCCAGCCCACATCCGACAGGATTTCACTTCCTCCTTCCACATGTTGAGTACTATCTTCGGGACAGGAACATCATGGTCCTATGTGGCAGAGGCCACCTGGTTTGAGTATCATTACATCCCCTGCCATTTCTGGGACCCACACATGCAGTGTTCTCCAACCTGTAAAAAAATGAATAAAATCTGCTTGAATTGAGCTGGATTCCTACTGTCTTCATAGACATGTGCATAAGGTTCCTTGGCAGCAGTATGGGAGGGGAGGGCCCTTGTCTTGTTCCAATGAAATATTTAAGCCTATATAAACTGGAGTACAATAATGCCTTGATTAAATAGCGACCAGGCATTTCTTGGGAAACTGGGCAATGCCCTTTGAAAACAAAGGCTTGGTTAAGCACTATTAAGTTTTGGTTGCAAATATATGTTTTTAAAAATAAGGAAGGATTGCTTCAGGAAATTCCACATGAACCCTTTGTAGATATGTGGTTTGAACAAGTGACTGAAAAGATAAGTCAGATTGGTTTGGAAGAAGAGGGCTGCCAAGGCCTTGGATCGGATCGTGCCTGTGCGACCTGTCCCCTCTCGTGGATCCCGTCATTCCCTGCGGTTCATGGGGGAACTGAGGGAAGTGAAAGGAGGGAAGAGACATCTAGAGCATCGCTGGCACTCAACGAGGGATGAACTCAACCAAATATGTGTTAGAGCCACTATTAAGGCCTACCGCGTGACAGTAAGCGTGGCAGAACGACAACACTTCTCCGCCCGTATCGCATCTGCAGATAGTCGTCCCACGGCCTTGTTTCGTTGACATGTGCCCTCTTGGGTAGAGGGGGTTGGAGATCCCCCTGCAGGCCTGTGCGGAAGAATTTGTGCAGCATCTGTCAGACACTGTTGCTTGAATTCATTCCCAGTTGGAGGCTGGCTTTTTTGCAGGTCTGGTATGTAAGGTTTGCCCCGTTCGACAGAGAAACTCCAGTGACACGTGTGGTTCACAAAAGAGGTTTACTCATGCGTAACGCAGCAGTCACAAGCAAAGCCAGGACTGGTTTGGTACAATTGCATCACTTGTTATATTCCCCCCTTCCCGCACTTTTTTCGCCCCGCGATCGTGTTACCGCTGCGGATTATCGGCCCCCCAATAATCCCTCTTAATTGTCCATGATGGCAGGTTCGGTCAGGGTCCATTGTCCTTGATTGACAGTCCCCCCCCCCGGCTTGGGTTGGTCCCCCCCATTACGTGCAAGCCCGAGGGTTCTGTGTTGCGCGGCGATCTTGTTTCACTGCCTGCGGCCCCGTTCATTGTTGGCTTGCGCCGTTATCAGTGTACAGTTAAAACTTCCGCTGCGGTTTTCCTGTTTGGCTGGGCGCAGGTGGCCCGTTAA